TAGCTGTTAGCTGGGCTGTTTAACATATGTTTTTTTCCAGCTTTTATTGTCATTCCACTGTCACAAGTACAGAGCAACGATATGAACTCTCTGCTTTGTCTTGCTCAGAGAGCCACAGTGGCAGTCTGTGGGAGTGGGACTTGAACTCAGAACCTCTGACCTGTTAGCAGAGAAGTTAGCGGAGCCGTTAGCAGACCTATTCCCTGACCTGGTAGCAGTTCTGTTTGCGGACACGGTTAGCAGAGCTGTTAGCAAAACTATGAGTGTTCCATCATGCAGTCATTGGTATTAAGACTGCTATGCCTCAAAATAAAGAAGGCCTTATTGCTTTTTTCGCTCAGTTTCTATAGAGACCAGACTACACTTAATATTTAATCTGAACATTCATTCTTATCTCTCCTACTTTCAAGGTTGCATAAAAATCTTGATTAGATTCATAAACGTTTAATAAACATTCCATAATAATTTTGTTCCTTTTCTGCTAGGTTCAAGCTGTGTTTCAGCTCATCATCGTCATCATCATCATCATCATCATCACAGTGACCGCACGATGCCAGAACCAGAATGGATAAGTGACAAAAAGCAACCTGTTCCTCATGATCTGACTTCCATGTTGGTAACAGAAGAGATTAAAATCGATGCAGAGGAAGCCAGAAATGCAGAGTCGCCCCTCAGTACACTGGACCCTTTAAAGCAAGTTATACTTCAATCTGATTCTGAGCAGAATGATTTAGATTTGAGCTACAGCTCAGCCTGTCCTGCGTCCTTTGATCCTTATGGGTTTAAACTCAGCCCAGAGAACTCCAGCCATACCCTGGTAGACCCTGATGAAGCTGAGCTGAGCCCAGAACAGGCAGAAAATGCTACCATCTTCGATGATGAACCCACATCTCCTCCGCCATATGAGCTAACTTTTGATCCCTATGGGTTTGACATCACCGCCTGTCAAATTGTACGTGACTCAGACCCTTATGGCTTTAAACTCAGCCCCGATGAGGAGAACCAGGTGGATTTAGACCTTTGTGATGATCATAACCTGGAGGAAATGGTTCTCACTACCCATGAAAACGACGAAGAGTTGGAAAACTTTAACTATGCAAACCAGGAAGTACTGAAACCTCAGACATATGAAAACCAAGAAGTTCTTGAAGAGTATGACTACACCCTCAAAGAAGTCCCTAATTATGAAAGTTTTGGAAACCAAGAGGTGTTGGAGCCATCTTTGAACAATGAGCTGCTCACCTCTGAACAAAAGGAACTCACAGATTACAGTTCTTATGAAAACCAAGAGGTGGTGGAGACCTGTCCCATTATCAACAAGGAGGTGCTACCAGAACCTCTGAGCTATAACAACCAAGAGTGGGTGGAACCAAATAACTCTGGCAGTAACGAACTGCAAGAATTTTCATATCCTGAAAACCAGGAAGTTTTGGATTTAGATAATTATGGAAATCAAGAGCTTCTGGGATTTCATGAAACGGAAAACAAAACAACGCTCATCTCAGATGTCCATCTTGACGAACCACAGGATCTTGGCGTCACTGAAAATCAGAAATTTGAAAATCTATGTAGCCATGACAACCAAGAGACACTAGACCTGTTTAGTCATGAAAGTGCAGCCGGAGTGAAAAGATATCAAGGCATTGTTGAAACAGACCTAAATCGCAGTTTGTCCAGTAACAGCTCAGACAGCGAGCTAGCATCCAACAATGTACAAAGGCCGGAACCCTGCAGCACAAATGTGAGTTCTGTCAACAGTATAATCGCTGCTTCAACGTATGCGCTTCAGCAGGCCATCAGCAGCAGGTCCACCACGCAGGACTCCAGGCCATCAGAATCCCCAAACACTCAGATGCTCTTTGGAGCTGATCTTGGAGCCGTGTTTGAAGCTGGAGGATACGTAGCATGTCCGGATGTAGCCGATGACCTGGAGCCTCTGAACAGGTGTCAACAAACGCCCCCCCAAAGATCCGCACCGGATCTGGTACAACCGAGAAGACCAGTTAGGCCACCTAGACCATCTCTTAAGGTCAGTTTGAAGTCTTAAAGTTGTGACTTCATGTTGTTGGTATTTTTTTAACAAACCTGTTTCTTGCATTTTCACCAACTGAGTTTAAAAATGTTGATGTTCCCCAAATTTAGACAAACCACCAGACCACAGACTGCGTTAGTTGAGAATTAATCTGACTCAGTGAGTCTCATACTTTTCCTCTCAGTTATCACTCAACTTATCAGAATTTTGTTTATTTGCTGTTTTTTACTGTTATCATTGTTTTAAAATATAATTTAAAATCCTAGTCCACAAGCATCCTCATTCAGATTTTCCCTTAATTTTCATGTTATGATATATGTTCACATTATTTATTGGCTGCATATCAAAGATATTTTCAATTTAAACATAGATAGGAAATAATACAATATAACCTCCAATAATTTCAGTGCTATCATTGTTCTAGGTCATCAAATCTATTCAGTCTGTCCAATAGGCTGCCTGTAGTGTCTTTAAATGTCCAGCAGATGTCAGTATTCTATGAGACAGAATCAATGCAGCATCAATTCATTTTGGCTTCAAGGCGCCTCATTAACCATCACTACTAACAGGCTTTGCAGCACTAGAAGGCAGCTAAGGAAGGGAGGAGAAATTTAGCCCTCGCCGCGCAGCGCTACTTTAGGACCAAGATGGAGAACCACTGCCATAGAAATATTAAGGCTCACCCCAGTTTTTAAAGAAAGAAAGAAAGTAAGTAGGGCATAAAATAAGGTGGAATTACAAGTTGTAATTAGTTTCACCTTATTTATGCCCTACTTACTTTCTTTCTTTTATAGTTTAATAGTTTTTACCTATGAGTTATTGATTTCCTGTAAGAGTTTAAAGTTTTGTTTCTTTTACCATTCACCATTGAAATTAATTATTATTACTTATATATAGTGTAAAATATAGTACAGTGTAAGTATGTGTAGTGTAAAGTTTAAACGCGCCTTTCTGCCTTCTAATTTTAACCCGTTTCTCTCTGTTGCTGAGGTGATTTCTTAGAAACTTGCCTTTATTCTACAGCTTAAGAACTGAAAACCTGTTCCACTGCAGAACAACCCACTGGTGTCATCCATCC